TGTGAAAATTTTTCGTGTTCCCGGCTCCCGAGCTCGGGCTGCCGAGACCAACCACCAACGCAGTTCCTCTTTTCTGCCTCCCACTACCGCCACCTCCCGCCGCAGCCCGCAACAACGCCAACCACCACTGTATATTCGAACGGTCCCTGCAGAACACCCTATCTAGGGAAGGAAAGCTCTATAGGTTCGCACTTATAACTACTCCTGTACCTACTAGGGGGTTTAAGGAACTTCTAGATAAGCCCTCTACTGTTACATGTGGTTGAAATCTTGATACCCCTGTAATACTTCTGGGCCACTACTAGTTATTCCCTAGGCCTCTATAACACCATCACTGTCCTGGAGAGGGATAAGAGGTGGGGACCTAGCTGCCCTGTACACCACAGAGTTATTCCAGCTTGGTATTCTGCAAAAACAATAAAAACCTTGCCCTTAGTTTACCACTTCTCTTTAAAAAGTGGTGAGATTTTTTCCTGCGTTTTACTCCACCAAAAACAGGAAGCTTGGACCGCCCAGTAGACCTGTCTAGTAGGAAGCCTAAGTTCACCTGAAAGACAAGACTGTAAGCTGTATCCCCAGTACTACGATTACCTTGAAATACTGTTCTGGAGCTGTTTAGCCCAGATAGGTATAGGAAAACTAGTACTGGAGCAGAGATATAGGGAGCAGTTAAATCTAAAAGCAAACTTAAGCTGGTTTCTCTAAGCTTCCCTCTAAAAAAGCTAGCTTGGTTTAGTGATTCCCTTAAAAATCACTATTTATTAGCTAGATCCCTAGCTAGTAAATTATTAGGATCCTACCTAGCTTTTCTTTTCCACTTTTCTTTTTCCTTTTTTCCTTTTTTTCTTCCCGTTTCTGTTCACTGCTCCGTGGATCCTCTCTTTAAAGGAAAATGGGGTCTTTTGAAGACCCCACAACCCCACCCAGGGACTCGTCCCCGAACCCATCTCAGCCTCCAAGCCCCAAAAAAGGGACTAAAGGCAAAAGAAAACACTCAGTGTTAAGCCCAAGAACAAAACTTGATTTTAGGCCTAATTCTAATTTAATTTCTAAGAGCCCCAATTCCTTCGCATCACTGGATTAAATGTCTGAAGACGAAGAAGGGCTCCTTAATAAAAAGGAGATGGAAAAGGCTTTGCAAAGATAAATAGAAAATAACGCCACACAAAGCCACATCCAAAAGCTTGAGTCAGCCAAAATCTTACTGCAAGAAATCCACCATGGTATCCCAAATCCCAAGATTCGTGAAGCTTTAGATTCACACCTTCAGGGCCTTTCTGCAATCCAGGAAAAACTGCAAAGCCCAGAAGCAAAAAACCTCTGCTTGCCAAAGACAACCAATTCGAAAAACTTCAAAAAAGAAGTTAACGCTATTAATTAAAAACTTGATAAAATAGTTTTAGCCTCCTCCCAGCCCGAGCAAACACAGGTAAAGCCTTCGTATGCAACAGCAGCCCAGAAGGGAATAAAACCACAGGTAATTATCCCAACCAGGAAACCAGAACAACCAAAACAGTTAAAACAGGCCACCTATAAAGGTAACAGGCTAATTCTAGAGGTTCCTGCGGAATTTTTGCAAGAGCTGGACTCTATAAAGCTCCGAAATCAAATCAACCACCAGTTCCAGACAAAAGAAAACGCAGACAAACCTATAGTAAGAACAGCAAGTACTTCTTATACTAAAAGGACCCTAATCCTTACCACAATGGATGGCATTCAAGCATCTTATTTAGTGGAGAAGCTTGATATCTGGAAATCACTTATCCCCTATACTAGGTGGATGTTTGATGAACCATGGGTAAAAATAGTTATTCACATGGTCCCCACCAGGCCTTTCGAAACCCAAGAAGGCATGCAGATGCTAAAGGAAGAGATTAAAATCTTTAACCCAGGCCTAAAATTAACAAGACCTCTAACATGGCTCACGCCGGAACATGTCCGGGAAACCAAAAATCACTTCTCTATTGTAGTTAACATGCAGAATAAAGCCATGGTATCCAAGGCAATTAAAAATCAACTCTGTGTTGCAGGAGCTTTATGTAGAGCCACTAAATATATAGAGAAAAAACTGCCCCAATACCAAAAATGCCAAGGATACAAGCATATTGCCAAATACTGCAAGAATAGCCCTAAATGCGCTATCTGCGCAGAAAGGCATGAAACCCAAGACCACGAATGTTCCACATGCGAAGTAAAAAGCCAGGAATGTCCCCACACACAGGTTAAATGCGCTAATTGCAGTCAAGCCCATAGAGCAGATAGCAAAAACTGCAAGGAATGGGAAAAAGTCAAACCAAAACCAAGGCCTAGGCCTACAGAAAGACCAATCCCTAACAGTAGCATGGAATTAGATTACTAATAAATCAGAAAAACACTGATTTAGGAATCTGTTTCCTGCAAAATAATACTGGACGCAATCAAAATGCCATGTTATCTTGCCTAGAAATAGGCATGGAGCTTAATATCGACTTTATTATTCTCCAGGAACCATGGATATCGCCTGATAATAGCTTTACTATATCCCACCCAGCATATATTCCTATCCTTCCTGAGCAAACCAAGGTTAGACCTAGAGTAGCAATCTATTATAGAAAGCTATCTAGGTTTAATTACTACCAAAGAAACGATATTAGCACTGATAGTGATTTGCTGGTAATAGATATTTTAGGTGCAGAAATTCAAGATCTGCAGCTAATAAATATATATAACGAGCAATCACTAGAGGAAGCTGCTAAGAAATAGATAATAAAAAAAGCCCTAGTAAGGATTACCCCTTCCGCACACGTAGTAATAGGGGGACTTTAATGCACACCACAGCTGGTGGAATTCAAAGACGCTATCACCTACCAGGGCTGATACTTTGATTAAATGGCTTGAAGAACATCAATGTGAACTACTAAATAAGCCTGACCTGCAAACATGCCATAGAAAAGGAATGAAGAATATCTCTGTTATTAACTTAACCTTTATCACCAAAGGTCTAAATCGGTATAGAGTTAATTGGGAGATTGACCAAGAGCTTGCCTCAGGATCGGACCATGAAATCCTGCTTTATTCTGTTGAAGTGAAAACGCAAGAAATCGCAAACCCCCCTGGCTAGTTTACCATATAACCTGAGAAAGGCGAATTGGGCGCTATTTAGCGAAAAACTCCTCAAGCTAGACTAAGAATTTGGACAGGGAAGCTTAAATAGTGACTTAGAGCTAGAAACTGCAGCTCTGAATCTCCAACAAATAATACAGATGGCTGCAGATACAAGTATTCCAAGAAGAAAACCATCTGCCCAGTCAAAAGCATGGTGGTCAGAGGAACTAAAAAACTAGAAAACAGCTTGGAAAAGCTAGAAAGCTTTGGAAAAATAACCCTTGTACAGAGCTCTACGAGAATCTTTTAGAGATTAAAAATCAATATTTCCAGGAGATCAAGCAAGCTAAATCAGCATGCTGGAATAAATTTCTGGAAGAAGCTCGGAATAAGGAGATTTTTAAAGCTTTTAGCTATACTAAAAAAAAGATCTATCCAAAACTGCCCATCTTGACCTATTCTGTGGGAAATCAAGAAAAGCAAGCAATCTTTTTTTTCAAGATAAATGTCATGCATTCCTCTCCACCCTGTTCAAAAACCCCCGGAAGCCGACCCCATTAGTGGCCAACCAACCAGGCAGATTTAACTAACTGGCTAGAAACCAGCGAAAACGAAGTATACACTGCTATCTTTAGTAGTTCTACTAAAAGGCCCCAGGGCCTGATGATATTTCATTCTTAATTATTTAAAAGGCTTACCAAAATATTGCTCCAAGGTTCCATGAGCTTTATAAAGCCCTAATTAAAAATGGTTATCATCCCAGATGTTGGAAAACTGCCAAAGGGGTTATCCTTAAAAATCGGCGTCTGCCAAAAGGGACTACTCAAGCCCAAGGCCTACAGAGTTATTTCCCTGCTTAACTGCCTAGGCAAAGTGGTAGAAAAGATCATTGCAACTAGATTATCTTATCTAGCCAAACTCCCGCAATTAATTCTTTATCATGACTAAATGGGGAAGAAAAAGAATATCTGCAATTAATACAGCGCTTATCCCTGGTTCATGACATAGAGCTGGTAAAACATAACAAAGAGGTTACCACAGCCCTTTTATTGATGTAAAAGGGGCGTTTAACCATGTCTTGCTTAATCAGCTACTTCGTGTTTGCCTTAAACTAGGCCTTCCACACAGCCTGATTAGGTGGATCAAGTTATTTATGTCAGATAGGAGAGTATTCCTCGCATTTGACGGGGAAACCAGCAAGGAGACACCAGTCCAGGTAGGGATCCCCAAGGATTACCTATATCACCTATTCTGTTCCTTATATATATTAAAGAGCTTTTCCAGCTTGAAATGTATAAGGAACTAGGTGGTGATGCAAGGGAAGCATTTAAAAATATTTAAAAGCCTAGCTATATGGATAACATATGCCTAACTATCAGCTCTAAAAGCCTAGAAAATAACTGCAGGCAAATCGAGCTGGTAGCCAACGCAATATTTCAAAAAGGAGCCAAAACCATATCCAATTCGATTAGGATAAAATAGAGCTTATTCATTTTAGCTCTAAACAACCGGATCAAGAAAAGGAAGACACCCAAGTTAGACTAGATAACAATATCAAAGTCAAACCAAGCCCAATGGTAAAATGGCTAGGAATCTACTTAGATTCTAAACTCCTTTTCAAGGAACATGTCTAATTTAGAGTTGCATCTGCAACCCGAACATTTCACCAAATAGCGAGGCTTTTAAATACAGAAAGGGGGCTAAGTTTTCAAGCCATAAGACAACTTTATATTGCTTGTGTTTCCTCCATTGCAGATTATGGAGTCCCTTTATGGTGGAAAGGCCAACAGTATTTGGTATACCACTACCAAAAACTGCAAAACACAGCTCTGAGAAAGATTATAGGGACTTTTAAAACATCGCCTGTACAGGCCATGGAAATAGAAGCATCCCTACCCCTATACCTCTAGTCCGTAATGGACCCGGGGCCCCCATTTTCTCGCCCCCGTTGGTCCGTCCGGCCGGCGGCTGCCCCACACCCACGCGCACCCCACGCGCACCACACACGCACCACACCACCCACGCGCATCTCGTACGCGTATCACTGACGCTCCGGAGTAGAATGACTTTTCCTTCCTTCCTTTAGCGATCTTCTCGATTTCACGCGGAATTCAACGATCCAGCCATTCCGCAAGCATGGATCTTTTTATTTACAATCCCACCTACCGACGAGGGATTAGCATTGCATGTTATTAAGGGGTAACTATTAGAACTTTGACTGATATTATCCATTCCAACCAGTGTCAATCCTAGTATTAAACCAGATTCGATCCGTCCCATGGCCGAGCAATTATTTACCAGGATCCCCGAGCTGAGGGTGATTATCTGCCGGAAATGTCAGTTTGGTGTCCGGCCGAGCAAGGTCCAGCGCCATGTAAAGCAGCATCATTTTAAATCACACACCGAGGCGGTGCAGATTGCCACCACGGTGTCCCAGTGGGATAATATTAAGCAGGATCCGAATAAGATCCAGATCCCCACGCGATTGGACCATCCATTGCCCGTGATCCCATGTGCGCACAGTGGAATGCTATGCCAGCGAGATTATCCCACATGTGAATTTATTGGAATCACATTGGAGTCTATGCGGGTTCATTGGTCCCGTGTATATAGTTGGTCCCCCCGGTCGTCGCGGGCGGGCTCGCAAAGCCGACCAGATTCGTGCAGCAGCAGAGATCCAGCGATTATTTAAGCCCGTGTCATGGCAGCAGATATTCCCCGGCGGGATGGGTTCCCATTATATTTATATTCGATTTCCCAACCAGACCACCAACGAGCCAGCCACTGCCATGGACATGGAGGACATCCAGCACGCTGTCCAGGAGCTGGAGAATGCATGGAAAGAGGCGCAGTCCACGCAGAGTACAATTCAGGTATCTGATATTACCGACGCCAACCCCTGGCTGCGCATGACCAGGTGGTCCGAGTATTTGGAAGGAATCGCACCAAAGGATCTAGCCGACAGCGTGGCGCCGCCCGAGGAAGAGCCCACAGATCCCGTGGAGCAGGGCGTGCGCCACATTTGGGCCGCCATGGAGCAGGTCGTGCGCAAGAGCCAGCGCGTGGTCCAGCACAGCGGCCAGGCAATCTGCATTGAAGCCATCCGATCCGAAAAGGGTCAAACACCATATCGACCGTTGCAGGCGTATATGGATCCCGAGAGCGTGGTTAAGCATATGCAGCCATGGCAGCAAATATTAGCATTTATCGCGCGCACCCAGGCGCCACACGGATGGACGAGTCCCCGTACGGGATGACAGCACGGCAGCGCAAGAAATGGCGGCAGTTATGGCACCTCGCCACTACCCACCGGGATATTCCCGGCGAGCCGCAGGACGACGACGCAGCGTGGCGCATGACCCCGATCGAAGGCGCGTGTTTGGAGTTCTGCATCGAGTTGCTAAACCAAAAGCAGCGTAGCCACGAGTACGAGAGCGTGCTTGTATGTGCCATGGCCGTGTTGGGATGGGGCCGGGACCGATGGCAGGGCCCGGAGAGTTATCCCCGATCTTATCGCGCGTGATTAAGGTGGCGCGCTTTATAATCGTCCAGAAAGCGCTTTGGTTGGATCCGAATCCCGAGGAGATTATCGCGGTGTGGCAGAAGAAGAGTAACTGCGCGCAGTGGGTGCTTGCCAGCGCCGACGACGAGCTGGAGGATATTTATTCGGACGAGGGATATTACAGTCAACAGGAGCAAGGTATCCCATCGTCGCCACCCACATCGCCCATTACCAGCAGTAATCCCCAACCGATAGTGAATATCCGCCGGCAGAATCGCGGGAAAACATTCCAGGAGCACGTGGAGTGGATGGTGCAGCGGTTTATGGTGCGTGGCACCCACAGCCCAATACAAACATTGCAGGATTGGCGCACGTACGGGTTAAAGATCCATTATAATACCACGGCGCCCGGGCACATTACATGGAACTATGGCGACGAGCTCGGATACAAGCATATCACATTTACCATGGGCGATTTCCGCGGATTTGTCCATGGATTGGTCGGGGCCACGCGCCAGATATTGTGCGACATACTGTGCGTGACAGCGCGAGAAGACATTCCCAGTATTCCATGGCACGCGATCTACGACGACCCCATGCAGGCCACGGTGGGATGGAATTTTTGCGGGATCAGCGCACGCAATGGCCGGTGGGGCCCAAGTGGATGATCGGCCGGTTGCGGGCCGAGCCGGCCGTGCAGAAGGAGTTTACTGTCCGGCGCCAAGCCCGACGGCTGCACATGCCGAAGGTAGCGCAGTATCTGGAGCGCGTGGCGCGATTTAAGGAGAAATTAGCAGTGATTGTTTATGTGGTATCCGGCCAGCCGGCTCGCGCACCCGAGTTATTAAGTATTCAACATGTGAATACCGTGGCGAATCGACAGCGCAATATCTATATCGAGGACGGGATGGTGGCGTTGGTGACGGCGTACCACAAGGGGTTTTACGCGAGTAACGATATAAAGATTATTCATCGATTTGTGCCACGGGAGGTAGGTGAATTAATTATATGGTATTTATGGTTGGTATTACCATTTGTGGAGCACTTAAGCGCGTGGCATGCGAAGCAAGTGCAGGGCACGCACGCAAACGCAGGGCACCACAGCGCAGGGCACGCACGCAGCGCAGGGCACCACGGCGCAGGGCACGCACGCAGTGCAGGGCATGCAGAGAATACATGCAGCACAGGGCACTACCACAGCGCAAAGCACCACCACAGCGCAGGGCACCACGGCGCATGGCACGCACGCAACGCAGGGCACCACCACGGTGCAAAGCACCACCACGGCGCAGGGCACGCACGCAGCGCAGGGCATGCAGAGAATACATGCAGCACAGGGCACTACCACAGCGCAAAGCACCACCACAGCGCAAAGCACCACCACAGCGCAAAGCACCACCACAGCGCAAAGCACCACCACAGCGCAGGGCACCACGGTGCATGGCATACACGCAACGCAGGGCACGCACGCAACGCAGGGCACGCATGCAACGCAGGGTACTACCACAGCGCAGAGCACCACGGCGCATGGCACGCACGCAACGCAGATTTGCGATAATGCGTTTTATGGGGCCCCGACCCCGGTACCCGGCGCAAATGGACGTCCGAGCGGTTCCGGGAGGTGTTAAAGCGCGAAACCAAGACCCGGTTAAAAGAAGCTATTAATATCCAGTGGTATCGGGATATCGCCATTGGGATTAGCCGACGATTTTTGCGACCCACTGCCGCGTTTGCCAGCAACATGCAGGAGGAGAGAGACTTGGCACAGGCCGTGCTAAACGCCGACACCGAGGAGGGTATGGACGAGGAGCAGTGGTTAGGCTATATTGCAGATTTGCAGGCGGCGCATTCATCCCAATTGGCGGGTGGAGTGTACGGCCGTGGTATTATGGAGCAGCCCGGGACCACGGCGCATCGCCGCGCAATGTTTCGGCTCTCCAGCACCGATTGGCACCGGTTTTGGGGTTTGCATCCGCCGCGGAGCCCAGCCCGTTGGGGAAGCGCAAGAGACCACCATGGGAGGACGAAGCCGAGGAGGGCCGAGTGGTCCGACGTCACCGGTTAAATATCGCAGATATGCGCACCACGTTGCAGCACATGACCGGGCAGGAGGATATCCAGTTCCGGGGCGTCCAAGCACCGGCGTTGCGCGCCATTCAGGACGGCCAGAGCCCGGTGGTCGCTATTATGCGCACCGGAGGGGAAAAAGCATGTTGTTTATGTTACCTGCATTCGCCGAGCCCAGTGGTACTACCATTGTGGTCGTGCCATTAATATCATTGCGGAACGATATGGTGCGGCGCTGTTGCGAGCTAGGTATATCCTGCATTGAATGGGATAGTCGACGGCCACCAGACGAAGCGACAATTGTACTGGTCACACCGGAATCCGCGGTGCAGGAGGATTTTCAAACATTTATTAACCGGTTGCAGCAAACACACCGGTTAGACCGGATCGTGATCGACGAATGCCATGTGATATTGAACGACCAAACAGATTTCCGACCCGAGTTGCGACAGCTGGGGCGGTTAAACCACGCGCGAACCCAGATGGTGTTATTAACTGCCACGTTGCCGCCGCGGTTAGAGGCGAAGTTATTCCGGCGCATGGAGTATTCCCGCGAGCAAGTCTATATATTTCGGGACCGCACAAGCCGTCCCAACGTGGCGTATCGCGTGTGGCGGCCCGAGCTGGGTCGGCGTTCCATGCAGTGGTTTACCAGCGAGCCGGTGCTCGCGTTTATCCGCGAGCGAATCCAGCGCGCAAAGGATGGCAAGGTGGTGGTATACGGCCATGTGGTCCGTCAGGTAGTGGAGATTGCACGCGAGTTAGCATGCGAGGCGTACTACAGCAAGCAGGTCGACAAGCCATCTATATTACAGCGATTTACCCGGGGCGAGACACGAGTGATCACCGCCACCAGCGCGTTGGGCATGGGTGTGGATATCCCCGATATCCGCAGTATTATCCATATTAGAACACCGCGGTCGTTGTTGGAGTACGGGCAGGAAAGTGGGCGAGCCGGACGGGATGGCCAGCGCAGCGAGGCGATTATTATCCAGCCCGAGGGCTGGGACGAGCCCATGCCGGAGACGCCAGAGGCCGTGGCGGATCGCGAGTTGGTGGACGAGTATCTCGGGGTGGCGCCCGGGGTGGGATGTCGACGGTTTGTATTAGACGCGTACATGGACGAAACAGTGAATGGCTATACGCGCCGATACTGTCAGGATATTGATTCCACGGAGGCACTATGTGATGGCTGTGACGCCGATTGGCTCGCGCAGGAGTCGGTTTGCATGTCCCCGGACAGATATTCCCCGGACACCCGCATGGACGATCTCGCCCGCACGACAAGCCCACCACGCGAGATTAGCGCTACGGGCAGTCCCCATTCCCATGGTAGTGGCGAATTATTTCCATTATCGTATATTATACCGCAGAGCACGCAGAATATCGCGCCAAATCCCACACGCCGGTCCCAATCCCATGACAGTACAGAATTATTTGAAACTCAAGTAATATCGCATGTTATACCGCAGAGCACGCAAAATATCGCCCCCAATCCCACGCCCACGGTTAGTATCGCCGAACGCCAGCGCCAACGTGTGCAAGACCAGCGCCATGCAGCGCCCCATATTCAACACCAGGCGCAAGATGCTCGGCAGTGGTTGGACGAGGAAACCATTGAGCAGGAGATAGCGCCGTGGCAGAAAAAGTGCTATATTTGCACTATTGCGGGTCGGGAACGGAATGAACACGAGTTATACTTTTGCCGTGGGCCCAAAAGCGATAAAGCCAAGGCATGGGTTAATCTGGTTCGCCAGCATAAGATTCCATTCGCCAGATATACCGCTTGTTACCGCTGTTATCTGCCGCAGACAATCTGTCGACGATGGGAGGTACTAGATGGCCATCCAACACAAACCGAGTGTGTATATAAGGATATATTGGTCCCCATGACGGCTGTAATACTGTACGGCCCGTGGGAGGAGCAGATCCAGCCACTATAGCAGCGCCGGTTGCAGCAGCACGGGGTGGACGCAAACAACACCACGCAAGTGTTGCAGTTTTTGGGGCAGGCCACGGAGGGAGCCAAAGGCCAACACAGCCAGTTATTCGCATTATTTTGCTGGCTATGGCAGATCTGCAAAGAATTGGAGGGGATCCACGGGGTTTGTGGTATAACTAGTTAGTATACAGTGTAGCAAGTACAGTAATATATTTATAATTTTATTTAGACTAATAAGTATATAAATATAGGAGCACATGCAGAGCATATATAATATAGATATAAACAGCAGTGGACACACGCACTAGGCGAGGTATATACCAGGGAACAAGAGAAGGTAGCACCGGGGGAAGAACGCACTGGGGGGGATAAATGTACCAGGAAAGGATACACACTAGGGGGAGGTACGCACCGGGGGGAGGTATATACCAGTAAACACACGCACCAGGGAAAGGCATTACCCGGGGGAGGTATATACTGGGGGAGATACGCACCGGGAAGAGATACACACCAGGGGGAGGCATGTACCAGGGGGAGGTACGCACCGGGGTAAAAACACACCGGGGTAAACACACACCGGGGTAAACACGCACCGGGGGAGGCATGTACCAGGGGGAGGTACGCACCGGGGTAAAGACGCACCGGGGTAAAGTATACACCAGCGCGAGGTATATACCGGGGGCAGGCATGCACCGGGGAAAGGTACGCACCGGGGGAGGCATGTACTAGGGGGAGGTACGCACCGGGGGAAGGAACGTACCGGGGTAAACACGCACCGGGGGAGGCAGGTACCAGGGGGAGGTACATACCAGGGGGAGGTACACACCAGGGTAAACACGCACTGGGGTAAACACGCACCGGGGCAAACACGCACCGGGGTAAATATAAACCGGGGTAAACATGTACCGGGTGACGCATATATTAAAGTGAATAAACGCAAACTATATATACCAGGGAATATACGCAGGCAGTGTTTTAAGCATATGCAGAGTATATGTAGCAAGGAAATACACACACCGGGGGGTAATACACACCCAGGAGAGCCACACACCGGAGGAGGCATACACCGGGGGAGACATACACCAAAGGGAGCCACATGCCGGGGGGAGATACACACCGGGAGGAGATACACACCGGGGGGAGACACACACACCGGGGGGAGGTACGCACCGGGAGGGAGTTATGCACCGGGAGAAGGTACGCACCAGGGGAATATACAGACCGGGGGAAGGTACACACCGGGGTGAGGTACGCACTAGGGGGAGGTATATACCGGAGGGAGGTACGCACCGGGGTAAACATGTACCGGGTGACGCATATATTAAAGTAAATAAACGCAAACTATATATACTAAGAAATATACACAGGCAGTGTTTTAAGCATATGCAGAGTATATATAGCAAGGAAATACACACACCGGGGGGTAATACACACCCGGGAGAGGCACACACCGGAGGAGATATACACCGGGGGAGGCATACACCGGAGGAGATATACACCGGGGGAGGCATACACCAGGGGGAGCCACGTGCCGGGGAGAGATACACACCGGGGGGAGGTATATACCGGGGGGAGGTACGCACCGGGGGAAGGCATGTACCGGGGCAAACACGCACCGGGGTAAACACGCACCGGGGGAGGCATGTACCAGGGGGAGGTACGCACCGGGGCAAAGGCGCACCGGGGTAAACACGCACCAGGGCAAACGCGCACTAGGGTAAACACGCACCGGGGTAAACATATACCAGGGGATGCATATATTAAAGTAAACAAATGCAAAGTATATATACTAGGGAATATACACAGGCAGTGTTTTAAGCATATGCAGAGTATAAGTAGCAAGGGAATATATACACCGGGGGAGGTATATACCAGGAGACACATGCACCGGGGTAAAGTATACACCAGCGCAAAGTACACACCGGGGGAGGTACGCACCGGGGGGGAGGCATGTACCAGGGGAGGTACGCAGCGGGGAAGGCATGTACCAGGGGGAGGTACGCAGCGGGGAAGGCACATACCAGGGTAAACACGCACCGGGGCAAACACGCACCGGGGCAAAACGCACCGGGGCAAACACGCACCGGGGCAAACACACACCGGGGCAAACACGCACCGGGGCAAACACACCCAGGGCAAACACGCACCGGGGCAAACACACCAGGGGCAAACATGTACCGGGTAATGTATATATTAAAGTAAATAAATGCAAACTATATATACCAGGGGATATACACACCGGGGGGAAATACACACCAGAGGAGGTATGCACCGGGTACTAAGGGAGGTATATACTAGGGGTAGGCACTTACCAGGGGATATATACACCGGGGATATATATATTAGGGATTATATACTAGTAAACAAACACACCAGGTTAAACACGTACCGGGGGAGGTATATAGTATAAAAAGGGTGTGTAGTATAATAAGTATATATAAAATATATATACTAGGGGATATATGCAGTGTAGTAGGTATATATAAAGTATATTATTAAAAAGGAGGCATATACTAGATAGAGATATATACCAAGGGAAGATATATACTAGGGGGAGATGTATATTGGAAAAAGATATATATTAAAAAAAAGAAATATACCGGGGGTAAATATATAGTATAAAAAGGGTATATATAATATATATATATTTAGGAAATATATACTAGGAAACACAAGCACTGGGGTAGACATATACTAGGGGAGGTATATAGTATAAAAAAGCGCGTAGTATAAAAAGTATATATAAAGTATATATACTAGGGGGATTTTTATAGCATAGTAAAAGTACATGCAGGCTATATTTACCAAAGGGAGGTACACACACACGAGGGAGGTACGCACCGGGGAGATATGCACCGGAAAGAGATATATACCAGGGGGAGGCATGTACCGAGGGGGAGGTACGCACTGGGGAAGGTATATATTATATAGGGAGGCATGGACCAGGGGAAGACATATAGTAGTTAACATATATACCAGGGGAAATACGTACCAAGGAGAGGTATACACCGGTGGGAGGTACGCACCTGGGGAGGTATATACCGGGGAAGGTACGCACCGGGGGGGGCACGTACCGGGGTAAACACGCACCGGGGTAAACACACCGGGGGGGGCATATACCAGGGGAGGTACGCTCCGGGGCAAAGAGACACCAGGGTAAACACGCACCAGGGCAAACACGCACCGGGGTAAACACGTACCGTGGTAAACACGTACCGGGGTAAACACACCAGGGTAAAAACACGCACCGGGGCAAACATATACCAGGGGACGCATATATTAAAGGAAACAAACACAAAGTATATATACTAGGGGATATACACAGGCAGTGTTTTAGGCATATGCAGAGTATAAGTAGCAAGGGAATATATACACCGGGGGAGGTATATACCAGAGGAGGTATGTATTAGGGTACTAAGGAAATATACACCAGGGGAGATATACACCGGGGGGCATGTACTGGGGGAGCATGCACTGGGGGAGGTATACACCAGGAGACACACGCACCGGGGTAAAGTATACACCAGCGCGAGGTACACACCGGGGGCAGGCATGCACCGGGGGAGGCATGTACTAGGGGAAGGAACATACCAGGGGAGATACGCACCAGGGGGGAGGTACAAACCAGGGGAGATATATACCAGGGAGAGATACACACCGGTGGGAGGTACGCACCGGGGAAGGCATGTACCAGGGAAAGGATACATACCAGGGGGAGGCATGTACCAGGGGAGGTACACACAAGGTTAGACACGCACCGGGGGAGGTATATACCAGCGCAGAAGTACACACCGGGGGCAGGCATGCACCGGGGGAGGTATGTACCAGGGGAGGTGCGTAGTAGCGGGGAAGGCACATACCAGGGTAAACACGCACCGGGGTAAACACGCACCAGGATAAACACGCACCGGGGTAAACGCACCGGGGAAGGCATGTACTGGGGTAAACACGCACCGAGATAAACACGCACCGGGGGGAGGCATGTACCAGGGGAGGTACGCACCAGGGCAAAGGCACACCGGGATAAACACGCACCGGGGGAGGCATGTACCAGGGAAGGTACGCACCAGGGCAAAGGCACACCGGGGTAAACACGCACCAGGGTAAAACACGCACCGGGGTAAACACGCACCGGGGTAAACACGCACCAGGGCAAACACGCACCGGGGTAAACACGCACCGGGGTAAACACGCACCGGGGAAGGCATGTACCGGGGTAAACACGCACCAGAGTAAACACGCACCGGGGTAAACACGCACCGGGGAAGGCATGTACTGGGGTAAACACGCACCGAGGTAAACACGCACCGAGGTAAACACGCACTGAGGGTAAACACGCACCGGGGAGGCATGTACCAGGGGAGGTACGCACCAGGGCAAAGGCACACCGGGGTAAACACGCACCAGGGCAAACACACACCGGGGGTAAACATATACCAGGGGACGCATATATTAAAGTAAATAAACACAAAGTATATATACCAGGGAATATACACAGGCAGTATTTTAAGCATATGCAGAGTATATATAGTAAGAGAATATATACACCGGGGGGAGGTACACACTGGGAGAAGATGGGGGCAGGTACACACCAGGGGAGGTATATATACCCGGGGGGGCACACGCACCAGGGGAAAATACACACCAAGTAAAAATACACACCAGGGGAGATACACACCAGGGTAAACATGCACCGGGGTAAACACGCACTGGGGTAAATATGCACCAGTGTAAACATGTACTAGGGGAGGTATATACTGGGGGAAGATATATACTAGGTAAGATATATACCAGGGGAGGTATGCATGGGGGGGGAGGCATGTACCAGGATAAATACCCACCAGGGGAGATACACACTGGGGGGAGCTATATGCTGGGGGGAGGCATAGAGTTAGGGGATATATGCACTGGATAGAGGTATATAATATAAAAAAAAGTGTGTATTATACAGAGCAGACATAAAATATATATATACAAGGAGGTGTATAAAATAAAGGGAGCATATACTAAGCATATATACCAGTAGATATATATACTAGGGAATATATATACCAAGGAATATATATATACTAGGGTACACACGCACCGGGGGTTATGTATATAGATAGTCCCCGCACTCTACGGGAGTTCGCGCGCGGAATACGGCGGCCCGCAGACGTACGGTTGCGCACTTCCCCGACACTCCACGTACGCTGTGTGTCGCTGACGTAACACCCGTCCCCCATACAGTCCCCGTAGACTGTCGACCGGCCCCACCCCGTACAATCCCCGTCGACCGTCCAATGCCGAACGGAGCCCGTCCCGACACCACCAACACCGGCTCCCGTCCCATCGTCCGCCAACAGGAGTTCCCGAGCCGTCCCGATACCACCCACCCCGGGTCCCATCGTCGGTCGATAATGTTTTTCGATCCGGATCGTTGATTCGGTAACATTTTCGACTCGTTTCCGATTATCTCTTATAACTCCGGTTACCGACCACTCAGCACTGCAACCCGATCGCGACTGCGCCCAACCATTCCGGTATGTACGCAGCGATACTGAATAAGAGGGCAATGGTAGAACTCCGAAGGAGTAGGTCAAGGAGACACTCTGAGACAGCTCAGCCTGGCAGGAGAGAAGACAACATTCCCCTTACGCAGGTGCGCTCCGTGGTTTGTAAGAAGGTTGTTAATTGTCTATTCCCTCTTCGAACGGAATAAGGACTTAAGATAACTGTTATCCATACAAATGCCACATGCCAGTCCCTCTAGTTCCTCTACTATAATACAAACAGGGATTGTTTGGGCAACATATAACGCCCGATCCCGGGATGCTCCCCGACTAAGGTGCCGGCGCAGAACAGGCCCATGCCATGGAGAGTAAGTTAAAAGAGCACTCTTGGAGTGGCCCGTCTCAGCCCTGCACGGATAAGTTACTTTTTCAGCAATCTAGCGCTGGAGTATTGCGCTGATTTACTGGATAGATGTTCTGCACTTACTGCATTGTCTTTTATCCAGTGCTACGACATCTCCTATCCAGAACACAACACAACACAGTGAAGGATTGGATGGGGACGAAGATATATAACACCTATTACCATGCAGTTAGACGGCTCCATTTAGTCCCTCGCGTTCAATGCAAGCTATTCACTACGGAGAAACTTGGTTACCATATTAACTCGTCAGTGCTTTATCTCCTCTTAAGTATATATACTCGATAGGCCTTGCTTTTACTTCAAGTTATCGTTTGTGTCGATTTGTCTATCTTTGCGTTTTGGACCCGTGTGGTTATTGCCTGCTTGTAGTCCGCCTGAGTCCTGTGGAGACAATGCTCTGGAATCATCAATCAGATCCTCGGTAGCTCTCTGTTGTAAGTCAATATCGAGATATACTACAGAATCTAAAGGATCTGTTACACACGATCCTTAGGCTAGCTGATGTCGTAGCGAAAGACCCTTGACTGGCTTGTTAGTATACTTTCGGTTCTTCAATCCAATATATATATATATAACGAACCAACATGAGAGCCTTCAGCCGGCTTGGCGTCGGGCATCCAGTCATCGAACCCCTACATATATATATATAACAAACCAGCCGACCAATGCGACCGTATGGTACACAGAGGTTCAACTTTGCCTCCAATCCACAATCTCAAGACTGGCGAAAATCCACTGCGCCGAGTAAGACATTCCCTACTCCTGTACAGTTCCGAACCGTATCTTCTTCTCAAACCCCTTTCCAGCAGCAACTCGGAAAATGTGATCTGTCCATTATTTTCCCCACAGACGAAATCTTAAGACCAACCCCCTAAAATTCTGCCCCCCCTGATTCGATCCCCAAACAAAAAAAAAAAAAAAAAAAACTCCCACCTGCCTGTTCCTTACAGTCTACATTTAATGTAAGGAGAATATAACACTGTCTTTATTTTTTTACTCACTGCTGTTTGGATATTATGGCAACTCGCAGGACTTCCGTGGCCTTTCCCGACGGGTCTCAACCACCGCCTTTGTTGACCTACCTGAAGGAAATATAATTGTATAGTGTGTATTGGGTGCAAAATTGCTATAACCAGACAGCTAAAAAGCGTTATCTTTCCGATGTCCATTAGCTACAGACTATTGCGGATCGAGCGCGACACCTGCGTTAGATCCCTCGCGATGTTACCCCCGATCCAGCCATAATAAATTCTCGCCTCTTCCAAACAGCTCCTCCCGGATTCCAGAGCTTGAGCTTCACGATCTGTGGGAATGCAGTCACTGCGGGCATCTTACCCGGTCTCAGCAAATAAGTAAAAGATACCAGGTTGCTGCACATCGTGCTAACGGCCTTCCGTGGGCGCCTCGCCGCGTGCAAGGCCAATCCTGGTTCCAATCCAGCCAATACCTGCGCTTCTGGACCACCGCGCCCGTGGACCATGGTCGACCAGCTGTAAGGGGCTAGAGCCCCTCAGCCTACTCGGGCCCTCAGCCCTCGTGTTTCCTTTCTCCTCGCCTGCCACATGATTAGTATATTGATTAGTACACTCTATCATGTGACTTCCCCTTACTTCGCAATCGTCTCATCGCTGTTTCCTCTTCTCTTTCCTCTTCGACGATTCCTTTTGTATCCACCCTAGTTATTAGGTTATAGAGGTTTAGCCCTTGACACCAGCCAGCATGCCAGTGGAAACCACGGAAGATCCGCCCTCCTCCTCGGCTGCTAACACAATACTAATAGGCGAGCCGGAGATCGCTCCATCCCAACTTGATCCGGTCACAGGTACGTCTCTCGTTTCTCCTGGTCCGGCCCACTGCTAACCACGCTCACGTTCGTCTGCGAAGAGGACAACCAGAGAATCAAACCCAACGAACTACCGGCCCGACCGCTGCGACCCCTGGCCCCGAAGCCCGTAGACGCGGAGCCAATAGAACGACCGACCACACCATTGCAAACCCCACCCCTGACTGGCAACCACACGGCCCGATGGATCCGGGAAATTCAGCACCTAGAGGCTCGTGGGATCCACCGACAGCACCCTGCGCAAGAGGCCCGTCCGGATCCTCGGCTCTTTGTTTTCAGGCCCGTCATATGGAGGACGATGTCACACCATGGCTACTGTAGACCGACTGGCTTCGATTCCTGGATGGCCGTTATCTTCGGGTGTTGGCCGAAGCGTCCGCGCCAGACCCTGGCTGGCTGCAGAGCCATCCAGGTCTGCAATCTTTCTGGCCAGGAGCGCTATGGGACGATAAGGAGTTAGTCCTAGATAAGCCCGCAGGGAGCATCCAGCAGATGTCGGTTAATATTTTAGACCTGGTTATTACATCGTTTAACCGGGTCCTTAACCGAGCCCTGGACAGCTTAGCGTCCACCCATCCGCCAATCCGTCGTCTATTCCGCAGCTCATCGCAGACCGGTTTGAGTGCGGTGGAACTCGACCGGCAGCAGCCAAAGACGCTCCAACGCTATCGCCGCGTATGGCGGCGGTATCTAGCCTGGATGGTACGCGGAGCCCCTCTGACTGACCAAGAGCGCACGGAGATCCTCGGCCTCCGGTTAGACAAGTATAAGCAGGAGCATCTTACCCGGATCTGGGACACCCTCCAGGCATACCTGGCTCATCCGGAAGAAACCCTCGCAGCGGGCCACTTCCTTCAACGAATGGAGCAAACTAATACTCGGCAGCAGGCAGTTAAGCGCGCCTATAATCGGAGTAACCTGGGTGAACTCGCTGCAATATCAAGTCCTGTTCCCACACCTTAGACTACATTATCTACCACCACTGCCAACTCCCGGGCGGGTACCGCCGCCGTGCGCAAACGGCCGCGGCGAGAGAGCGTGACCCCGACACCATTGCCACCACCAATGCGCCGTGGCCATCGCCGTACAGCCTCCCAAGCTCGATTGTTAACTCCGACGAAGGCCTCCGGCACTCGACTCCGCGATCCTCGTGTAGGCGGCAGTGTGTCTACTGGTGAGAACTTACCGGTCCCCTCACCGCGACATGTTAAAAGAATAGTTGCAGTGTGTATCCCTATAACTCCACCCTTGTTATCTCCAGACGCTCAATCCTCTCAAACCAGGTAGGTAATAACTATCCCGGGTCTTTTCACTGCTGGGCGAGAACCCACTGCCACTTGGTCCTGCCAGGCTCCTACGTGAATACTTATGTGCTATACAGACGGACCCTATAATATAGAGTCGAATTATCCCCAGATAATAAACAACCACGCAACCACTTATCTCGGTCTCCCTCTATATCTAGTGAAGAGAGTGAATCGCATTCGACTAAAAGAGGCTATATGGACAATAACATGGATATAGATACCGCCTCAGAACCTGGTAAGATAAGAGTTCTATCCCCTACCACCTATTTCCATTTGCTGCCGGGACCTACTAACTAGGCAGCGTGGTTAGGGAGCCCGGGGCACATCCCCGGCGAGATAAGCGACACCGATTTGACATCGAGTGATTAGTCTGATGAGGAGGAAGAAGACTTCCTGACCAGTACAGAATCGCCAATCCCGTCTATGGGTAACGGCGCCAACCTGGATCAAACGAGCCGGAGGGGCGTGCCTCAGCTTCCACCGGAATATCAGCGGTGGCTGGATAAGATGGTCTTTTCGCTCTGTATAAGCAGTATTAGCACTCGTGCTATCCAGCAGACTGGCAACAAATTTGACAGCAGTCTAGTTGTACTAACAGCCGTGCTTGCAATTTACCCTGTCCATCTCACTGTGGCCGGTCCATATAGCTACACCAGCGACCTGGCTGCCATCCTCTGGATTTCACGGCTGCTTCTGCTGGAGTATGCACTGCCCGCCAAGCCATACCACTTTATTAATAACGTGCCGGTCCGTGACCAGTATCGGAACTGAGTCCGACAAGCCGCAGCGGTGCACTACACCTTTGGAGTCCGGCATACTTTTTACCCACTGGAGGAGATTTTACGGCTGACCGCCTATGGGATATACCAGATGTATCACGAGGTGCGTCCAGCCTCGATCACCTGGTCTCCAGACCAAGAGACAGTGTACTACCGGTAAAACCCCACTAGCTATACTATAACCAACTTCCGTTACTAGATCCAGCACCTGATCCACACGACCACAGACTTCTTTAACCGGGAACTCCTGCTGGGCTACGTTGAGGACTTTACACTGGCGGACTTGGTCGACGTGCCCAGTGAGAGACAGAGTGGCTTCTCCTTTCTCGACATGGCCCCCACCATGCGCGGCCCACGTGCATCCCTCTCCTCCTGCTCTGCCAGTATCCACTGTCTGGTGTGCAGCCGCTTCGGCAGGTTTCGACACACTGGGATATCCAGGCCATGCGATTGTATAAGAAGAAAGTTCAAGACTTTCTATATAAACTAGCTTTACTAATTCAGGTCACCTGGGGCCAGACCAGTCGTGAGAAGGAACTACTCACTATTAAATGGCAGAATACCGCGACATCCCAGCGGAATATCTTTCTCAGCAACGGCCAGGTTATAATCATAACCGAATATTACAAGACCCGCCGCCGGACCGTCCGTACCCACCCCGTTGCTCGATTTCTTCCCTCCGCGGTGGGCCGGCTGCTTGTAATGTATCTAATCCACGTCTATCCCATGCTAGTGGCGTTTAACAGTTAGTACCCCCGGAGTCCCGGGCCCGTCGGGAGGCCAAGCATGATTACTACTTCTTTGTTATTCCTTCCTTGCCGGTTTCCCTGCCGCCCCGCAAGTTGACACATCTTCTACGCCAGTCGACTCAGCCGTTTTTTAACAGTGCCTATCTAACCACCCTAAGTTATCGCCATCTGTCTATCGCCATTGCCAAGAAACATCTCCGCCCCCAGATAACTGGATCTAACCTGCAGTCCGCCGAGACAGTCCTCCATAATATCCTTGCCGCCCAGGCCGGTCATCATTCCCATATCAATAATTAGATCTACGCGGTTGAGGACACGTATCCATTAGGTCTCCTTCCCAGTCGCCAAGAAGCATTCCAGCGCGCGTCGGCCCAGTGGCACCGGTTTATTCTTTCTCCGGTGACCACTCACCATGTCCAGGAAACCACGACCCCTCGTCATCTGGCAGAGGTTAACTCTAATAACAGTGTGGGATCCAACAAGCAAGAATATAGATTTATTGGCTTTGAGCCCATTCCCCAGCTGAAAGTCATAGTTTGCCGTCGATGTCAGTATGCTGTGCGACCCGATAAAGTAAAGTACCATCTAAAAAGCAGCATTATCTATCCCATCGGACAGTAACCCCAATTATTCAGGCTATCCGCCAGTTGCCAGATATCGAACAGGATGGCTCAGCAATCCAGGTTCCTTATATTTTGGATAAGCCGATTCCTATTTTACCATGTCACTCAAACGGCTTACTCTGTCAACGGGCTCCCCGACCAGTGTCAGTATATTGGATCAACCATGAACACCATGCGCAACCATTGGAGAACGGCGCACCAATGGTCCCTCTATCCACATGGTGGACGAGTTTCCCAATCTCAGCGGGCTTCGCGAGAAATTGAGCTACAGCAGTTGCTTCAGCGTGTATCCTATCAACAACTGTTTCCATCACGGAGGGGATCCCATTATATCCAGATTCGATTTCCCAATGGTCAATAATCTCTCTCTATTTATTTGCAATCAAAGTGTGTTGCCCTGTATTCCACAGGCCTTCCCATTACATCCACGTCCAGTCCAAGGTGACCGAGACAGAGGCACCCGTGGTGATGGATGATATCCAGCATGCTATCTAGGAGCTAGAAAACATATGGAAGCATACACAGGCGCAGGTAGCCGAGCAAACCGTCGAGGCATGGGACATTGCCGACGCCAATCTATGGTTGCGCATGACCCGATGGTCGGAGTATTTAGCAAATAGAATATAATAGACAGCGTGGCCACACCCGAGGAGGAGCCTATTCATCCGGTGGAGCAGGGGCGTGCGCAGCATTTAGATGGTGATAAAGCAGGTAGCGTGTAAGAGCCGGCGGATAGTTTAGTATAGTAGCCAGGTGATTCGCATCAAAGTAATACAGTTAGAAAAGGGACAAACCCCGCACCGCCCGTTGCAGGCAGATATAGATACCGAGAGCGTGGTAAAGCATGTGCAGCCATAGCAGCAGATATTAGCGTTTATCGCGCGCATGCAGGCGCTACATGAGTGGATAAGTCCGCCATCCGGAATAACACCTCGTCAGCGCAAGAAACGGCGCCAGCTGTGGCACGCTGCCACGAACCGCGCACCAGCCGAGCAAGACAACTATCCTGTGGAAAATAAGCCCCATTGAAAGTGCGTGTTTGGAGTTTTGTATTAAGCTGTTAAATCAGACACAGCGCAGCCACGAGTACGAGAGCGTGTTGGTGTGCGCCATGGCTGTGTAAGGATAGGGTCGCGACCAGTGGCACGATGCTGAGAGCTATCCACCCATCATATCGCGTGTGATCACGGTGGCGCAGTCTCTGATCATGCAAAAAGCACTGTGGCTGGATCCGACCCCCAGGAGATTATCGACATCTGGGAGAAGAAGAGTAGTGGTACAGAATAGGTGCTGGCTAGCGCAGACAATGGATTGGAGGATATTTACAACAAGGGATATTACAGCCAGGACGGCAACAATATTATAGGGAATCTCCCGTCATCGCCCCCCACGTCGTCGATCGCGAGCAGTGATCCCTAGCTAATGGCGAATCTCAGCCAGCAACGGTCCCGGAAAACATTCCAGGAGCACGTCGAGTGGATGGTGCAGTGGTTTATAGTGTGTGGAACACACAGCCCCATAAAGACACTGCTGGACTGGCGTATATATAGGTTAAAGATCCATCACAATACCACGGCACCCGGTCACATTACATGGAATCATAGTAACAAGCTTGGATACAAGCACATCACATTCACCATGGGCGATTTCCGCGGCTTTATCCACGGATTAGTCGGGGCCACCCGCCGGATACTGTGCGACACGTTGTGCGTGAGCGATTGCGAGTCCATCCCCAGATTCCGTGGCACGCCATGTACGACGATCCCACCCAGTCCAAAGTGGGGTAGAATTTCTTGCAGGATCCACGCACACAGTGGCCAGTGGGGCCCATGTGGATCAACGATCGGTTACAGGCCGAGCCGGCTGTGCAGGGGCGATTTACTATACACTGTTAGCCACGGCGGCTATATATGCCCAAGGTGGCGCAGTAGTGCAGCAGGTGGCTCGATTCAAGGAGAAATTAGCCGTGTTGGTGCATGTAGTGTCCGGACAGCTAGCACGCGCACCCAAGTTGTTAAGTATCCAGCAGGTAAATACAGCGACCAATCAACAGCGCAATATTTTCATCGAGGATGGGATGGTGGCGCTGGTAACTGCGTATTACAAGGGATTTTACACCAGCAATGATATTAAAATCGTCCGTTGATATGTTCCCCGCGAGGTCGGGGAGTTAATTATATGGTATTTGTGGTTGGTGTGGCCATTTGTCCAGCAGTTAAGTGCATGGCAAGCAGCAGAGATATCCGCCACATCGCTGTCACAGACCACGGCAGACACGCCGGCCATGCACAGAGCGCGGACGCAACCACCACCGACGCAGGCAGCGCTGTGCAAAATACAAGCCCGTGAAGACACTTATTTATAGGGGCCCGACCCCAGCACACGTCGCACATGGTCATCGGAGCGATTCCAAGAGGTGTTAAAGCGGCAAACAAAAACATGTCTTAAGCATGCTATTAATATCCAGTCGTACCGGCAGATTGCTATTACCATCAGCCGACAATTCATGCAGCCGGCCAGTGCGTTTATTAGCAATGTCCAGGACAAGGCCAAGATTACACAGGCCGTCTTGGATGCCGACGCCGAGGAGGGTATGGACGAGGAGCAGTTCCTTGGCCATATTACTACTAACATGCAGGCCAGCCATCCGTCACGTTTGGCGGGCGCCGTGTACGCCCGGGGATTATAGAGCAGCCAGGCATCACCACCCATCGACGCGAAATGTTCTAGCTCTCCAGCATGGATTGGCACCGATTTATAGCGTTTCCATCCGCCGCGGAAGCGCCCAGCGCGCTGGGAAAGCGCAAACATTCGCCGTGGGAGGAGGAGGCGGACGAAAATCGCGTTCTTCGCTGACATCGGTTAAATACGGTCGACATGCGTGCCGTTCTGGAGCGGACAACCAGACAGGAGGGGATCCAATTTCAAGGCGTGCAGGAGCCGGCGTTGCGCGCTATCCAAGATGGAGAGAGTCCTGTAGTGGCGGTGATACACACCGGTGGGGGTAAAAGCACGTTGTCATACCATTGATTTCGTTGCGTGCCGATATGACACGGCGATACCGTGAGCTAGGTATCTCGAGTATCGAATGGGACCGTCGACGACCCCCGACAAAGCCACCATTGTGTTGGTCACGCCCGAGCCCGCGGTGCAGGAGGATTTCCAAACTTTTCTCAACCGGTTGCAGCAAACACGACGGGTGGACCGGATCGTCATCGACAAATGCCATGTGATATTAAACAATCAGAAAGACTTTCGGCCCGATCTGCGCTAGTTGGGACGGTTAAACCACTCACGCACGCAGATAGTGTTGTTGACAGCCACATTACCACCGCAGCTGGAGGCGCAGTTATTCCGGCGGATGGGGTATACCCAGGCAGAGGTGCACATGTTCCGTAACCGGACAAGCCGTCCCAACGTGGCATATCGCGTGTGGCGACCCGACGTGGGACGCAGCGCGCAGTGGTTCCATAGTGACCCCGTTATTACGTTTATCCGCGAGCGTATTCGGCGGGCCCCTGGTGGAAAGGTGGTGGTCTATGGCCACGTGGTGCGCCATGTGATTAAGGTGGCGCAGGCGTTGGAATGTAAAGCATACCACAAACAACAGGTGGACAAGCCCGGCATATTACGGCGATTTACACAGGGCGAGACGCAGGTTCTTACGGCGACCAGTATGTTGGGCATGGCGTGGACATCCCCGACATTCGCAGTATTATCCACATTAAAACACCACGGTGGCAAGCCAACAACTCGAGAAGGAAACCACGTCCCGTCCCCAATCCCAACGCAGTCACGAATTATTCCAATCGCAGATATCCACCCACGCAAAGTCCAACCATGCATGTCGCGCACGCGAGCCCATGCCCGAGGAGAATATATCCTGATCCAGCAAGCAACCACTGCCATTGCACATTCCGACTCCCGTTGCACGCACGACGGCCCATAATGGCTACCAAGCCACCACTATCCACCAGCAGACCCAGTGTGTAGAGGATTGTACGGTTTATATTACCAAACACCAGCGCCAGCAGGTCTAGAGTTAACGCCAGGCTGCCCTACATGTTTAACAACAAGCACAGGATGCGAAGCAGTGGTTGGACGAGGAGATAATTAAACAAGAGGTGGCAGGATAGCAGAGGCGGTGCTACATTTGCATTATTACCGGATAGGAGTAAACCGAGCACGAGTTACTTTTTGCCATGGACCCAAGAGTAACCAAGCCAAGGCATGGATAAAAGCGGTTCGGCGGGAAAAATCCGATTCACGCGATACAGCGCATGTTTCCGATGTGGGATGCCCCAGACTATATATTAGCGCTGGGAGGTTGACCGCCGCGGCACACAGATCGAGTGTGTATACAAAGATATATGGTCCTGATAATAGCGATAATGTTGTACAGCCCATGGGAGGCGCAGGTGTAGCCATTGTGGCAGAGACGGTTACACGAGCACAGGGTGGAGGCCGACAATCTCACGCAGGTGGTGCAGCTTTTAGGACAGCCCACAGAGGGAGCTAAAGGCTAACACAGCCAGTTATTTGTATTGTTTTGCTGGTTGTGGCAGATATGCAAGGAGTTGGAGAGGATATATAAAGTTTAGAGTATTACCAGTTAATATATATATCTTGGTTATTAATAGCAAGACGCAGATATTATAGTTTACTTGGTAATCTAATATATAAGTATAAAACTAATTACTGACTAAACAGAAGGTATAATAAAGTATATATAATAGGAAGATTGTGTCAAGGGCTAAACCTCTATAACCTAATAACTAGGGTGGATACAAAAGGAATCGTCGAAGAGGAAAGAGAAGAGGAAACAGCGATGAGACGATTGCGAAGTAAGGGGGGAAGTCACATGATAGAGTGTACTAATCAATATACTAATCATGTGGCAGGCGAGGAGAAAGGAAACACGAGGGCTGAGGGCCCGAGTAGGCTGAGGGGCTCTAGCCCCTTACACTACCCCCTTCCTATATAAGGCCTCCGAAGGAGGCCTAATAGCGAGGCGGGTTGCTGGCGCGGGCTGTAAGCTTTTTCGGAGGTTTCTCGGAAGTATCAGACAAAGTAGAGCGGGCATCGCAGTCTGCGATCCAATGATCATTAGAACCGCAGTAAAGGCATAAATTATTCGCAAGTCGGAAACGGCGGCGGTCAGAGGTGGTGGATTCATGAGAAGAATCAGATAAAACAGGCGAAGCAGCTCGGGCTACTCTCACAGAGCCAACATGAACAGGATTGGGGTTTATTTTAACTGAGTTGACTCGGACCGGATCAGTATCCATTGGGTCTGTATTCGGGGTCAAAGCTGGTTTCGGGGCTGATTTTGGACTAGGACGGGTACGCCGATCGGTACTCTGGACAAGTTCAATATATTCATTATAGGGAAGATCAAAGAGAGAATTATTCGAGTCTTCTAGTATTCGACGGAGATTAGGCCGTAGCCCCCGGTGTAGCGTGGTAACACGTGATATATCTGGCCATGAGTTTACATTGGCTTCATATGAAAGTCGTTCAAAACGAGCAAGGTAGGCGATAAGCGATTCGTCATCCCTCTGTTGTATAGAAGTAAAGCGCTGAATAGCCTCCTGCTGTTCCCGTGGGTTATGGCATAGACGCTGAAAAAAGAGAAAATAACTTCAGGATCCCATAGCTGGTTTTCTTCGGCAGATTGGCGGAGGTGCAGGACAGAAGCTTGCTGAGACTGTTCTAGTCGATCCCATACATAGTCAAAAGCATCAGCTCCTACGAGCTGGTCTGATCGAAGTTTTGCTTTAATTGACGGGAGCCATGTGCGAAGCGTGTATGGTTTACCGTTAAAGCGAGGCGGATCTGGCAGGCGGGATCTGGGTGTCTGGACGGAAAGAAGCTGCGTACGAAGCTGGTGGACATCTGTTCGGGAAGCATCAAGGTCCGCACGTAGTTGCTGTATTTCATTACGCTGGTTTTGAATATCAAGGCGCTGGTTTTGGAGCTCTTGCTGGAGCTGCTGCACAAGCAGGAGGAGTGGATTCGGGTCGGACATCGTAAAGATATTCCCATAGACTGGCGGACAGGCAGGCAAGCGGGCGGGCGAGCAGGCAGGCAGGCGAGCGGGCGGACAAGCGGGCAGGCGAGCGGGCAGACAGGCAGACAAGGACGATTCCTAATGTCAAGGGCTAAACCTCTATAACCTAATAACTAGGGTGGATACAAAAGGAATCGTCGAAGAGGAAAGAGAAGAGGAAACAGCGATGAGACGATTGCGAAGAAGTAGGGGGGGGAAGTCACATGATAGAGTGTACTAATCAAGTATACTAATCATGTGGCAGGCGAGGAGAAAGGAAACACGAGGGCTGAGGGCCCGAGTAGGCTGAGGGGGGCTCTAGCCCCTTACAGATTGCATGTTTTAGGGGAAATGCATGGAATAATTAAGCTTATATAATATATAAATAAAACGCAAGAATAGGTGCACATGTATTAAAAAAAAAGCAGATATTAGGTAAAAAGCACATGGACTGGCTAAGTATATATACTACAGGGAGTACATACAATACATTAAGTAGATGCTATATTAAAATTATATATATATAAAAACAGCACGCAATATAATAAGTACATATTATATAAAAATTACATGCACGGGAGGGAACACATATAAAAAAAAGGATATAGTTTACAAAGACTATATATAAAAAAAAAGCCCATGCTGCTAAACTAGTAACAGTGCTTATCTTGCATGTGGTATAGGAGAGCTGTTAAACACCCAACACGGCCACAATTGTGTTCGTGACACTGGAATCCACTGTGACAGACAACTTCCACATATTTATTAACCAATTGCAGCAGACGCACCAGGGGACTAGATTATTGTGAACAAATGCTACATAGTGTTGAACGAGCAGCGCGATTTTCAGCTACAGTTATAGTAGCTAGAGCGGTTGCACCACGCGCGAATATAGATAGTGTTGTTAACAGCTATATTACCCCCTAGTTGGAACCAATGTTGTTCCAGCGCATAAAGTGTTCCCGGGACCAGGTATATATATTCCGGGACCGGACTAGCCGTCCGAGCGTGGCATACCGGGTATGGCAGCCGTTTAGGGTCCTGTCCGGAGTAGTTTACCGCGGAACCAGTAACGGTATTTATCTGGGAATGGATCCAGCAGGCCCAGCCGGGGAAGGTGATTATTTACGCCAATGTAGTCCACCAGGTTGTGGAGATAGCACAGATAATTAGATGCGAGGCGTTCCACAGCCAGCAGATTAATAAGCCATTAATCTTGCAGCAATTTACGCAGTGCCAGACCTGGGTGATCGCCATACCAGTGTATTAGGCATGGTGGTTAATATCCCCGATATTTATTGTATTATCCACATTGGCACGCCACGGTCATTGTTGGATTACGCGCAGGAAAGTAGTCGTGCCGGACAGGATAGACAGGCGAGTGACCCTATTATTATCCGGCCAGCAAGTTCCCGGCATGCCGGCCCGGATACATCCCCTGATAATACCGCATTGGTGGCGGAATATACAGATATAATGCCCGGCGTGGGGTGTAGACAGCATGTATTAAATAGATATTTAGATAGCAGTGTAGATAGGTGTCAGTGGTAATATTACCAGGATAAGAATCCCGAGGAGGTTCCATGTAATAAATACCATCCTAGTTGCCCACATACCCGGATGGGTTGTTATGTCGCCGAGATTACCCCGGCTGTTAGTACATTGGACGGAGCTTGAATAGCATGTGCAATTACTGGCGGACGGTCTATGGATAGTCGCAGCATACCCGACGGGGCCGAACCACGCGCGAGGAGCAACAAGCACAGAAAGCAAAGCTGCGATAATTATATATAATCGTGACATGCCAGCAGATATTCCCATCGCGGAAAGGATCCCATTACATCTATGTCCGTGGGAGCGAGGAGGAACCGTCGATTCCCGTCCACACAGAGCAGGTCGACCAGGCGATCCAGCAGATCACCGAGGCATGGGAGGTGATGAAGATCCAGACCGGTGCGACCGGGGCTGGAGAGATCCACGACGCCAACCCGTGGTTGCGGATGACGGGGTGGACCCAGTATTTACAGGAGTTTACCACGCCCAGCGATTACGACGCATTGTATGCCATGGTCGCCCCCGTTGCCAGACGCCGATGGTCCCGTGGAGCAGGGCGTGCAGCGGATATGGAAAGCCATGGAGGGAGTGGTACGCAAGAGCCAGTGGACGGTGCAACATACCGGTCAAGCGATCCGGATCGAAGCGGTGCGATCCGAGAAAGGGCAGACCCCATATCGCCCGTTGCAGGTGTATATGGATGCAGACAGCGTGGCCAAGCATGTACAGCCATGGCAGCAGATATTAGCGTTCATCGCACGCACGCAGGCCCCACACCCAGAAAAGCGTCCACCGTACGGAATGACCCCACGGCAGCGGAAAAATGGCGGCAGCTATGGCAGATGGCCAGCCAGATCAGCAGTCCCAATTCCATCGACGAGGCGGATTCCACAGACGAGAGGGATCCGGAGCGTGCACAGTGGATGATGAGTGACATCGAACGGGCGTGTTTGGAGTGTTGTATTAAGCTAATGAACCAGACATACCATGCGCAGGAGTACGAGAGTGTGTTGATATGCGCGATGGCGGTATTAGGCCGTGGGGAGTTTGGATGGCAGGATGCCGAGAGTTATCCGCCGATTTTGTCGCGGGTGATCAAGATCGCCCGGTTCATGATTGTCCAGAAGGCATTGTGGTTGGATCCCGATGTGATGCAGATTATCGAGACATGGCAGAAACCGCAGAACTGTGCCGAGTGGACATTACGCAGTGCCGCAGCCGTGGATAATATTGAGACCAATTCCGTATACGGCAGCGAGGTGGAGGGGCCCCCATCGTCCCCGCCAACATCGCCCATGCGCAGTGGGGACCCCCAATCCCGGATTAATATCAGCCAGCGTGATCCATCCCGGAAAACGTTTCAGGAGCAGGTAACATGGATGGTTAGCCAGCTCATGGTCCGGGGCACGCATATCCCAATGGAGACATTGCAGGACTGGCGCACATACGGGTTAAAGATCTATTACAACACCACGGCCCCGGGGCATGTCACATGGATGCAGCCAGATCGGTTGCTGTATAAGCACCTGCAGTTCACCATGGGCGATTTCCGGGGTTTGTGCACGGATTGACCACAGCCACGCGCCGGATTTTATGCGACGAGCTGATATTTGGCCAGACGCCCGTCATCCCATGGCACGCGTTGTACGACGATCCCACCCAAAGCGCCGTGGGATGGAGCTTTTGCGCGATCAGCGAACATCATGGCCGGTCGACGGCCCCCAGTGGATTATGGAGCGGATCCGGACCGAGCCGGACATGCAGGTGCAGTTTATTCACCGCCGCCAGCCCACGCAGTTCCAGCCATGATTGGTGATGCAGTATTTGCAGCGTGTGGCGCGATTTAAGGAGAAATTGGCCGTGTTAGTGCATGTGGTCGGCGGGCAGCCCGGCCGGGCCCCGGAGCTGTTGAGCTTGCAGCATGTCAACACCGAGACCAACCAGCGGCGCAATGTATTTATCAAGGACGGCATGGTAACATTGGTGTCGGCATATCACAAGGGATTTTATGCCAGCAACGATGTCAAGGTCGTCAGTCGATATATCCCGCGGGAAGTGGGCGAGTTAATTATATGGTATTTGTGGTTGGTATTGCCATTTGCCCAGCAATTGGAGGTGTGGTATCAGCGCCGGCTCGACGAATCGTCCATTCCCCACCGGTATCCACAGCACCGTCCATTCCCCACCGGCATCCACAGCGCCGTCCGTTCCCCACCGGTATCCACAGCACCGTCCGGGCCCCCACCGGCATCCACAGCACCGTCCGGGCCCCCACCAGCATCCACGTCGCCGTCCATTTGGGGCCCCGATCCCGGCACGCAGCGGGCATGGACGTCCGAACGGTTCCGTGAGGTGTTAAAGCGTGAGACCAAGATGCGGTTGCATTACGCAGTCAACATCCAGGCATATCGCGAGATTGCTATCGGGATTAGCTGGTGGTAGATGTGGCCAAGCAGCGCATTCCCCAGCAACGCACAGGAGGAGAAGGCCCCGAGATCCCCCGAGATCGACATGGACGAGGACCAGTGGATGGAGGCTATCGTGGACGAGCAGGCCACGCATTCCCCACACGGCGGGCATGATATACGCCCGGGATATCATGGAGCACCCTGGGACCACCGCCCGCCGCCGGGCCATGTTTCGGTTGTCTAGCATGGATTGGCATCGGTTTTAGGATTTGCATCGGCCGAGGCTCCCGGAGACACGGGCAAACGCAAACGGGCGCCGTGGGAGGACGAGGCCGAGGAGAGCTGTGTTATCCGGCGCCACCGGTTGAACACCATTAATATGGAAACCGTGCTGCAGCAGATAACGGGGCAGGAGACCATTTAATTCCGGGGGTCCAGGCCCCCGCGTTACGGGCCATCCAAGACGGAGAGAGCCCGGTGGTGGCGGTGATGCCCACGGGGAGGCAAGAGCATGTTGTTTATATTACTAGCATTTGCCGAGCCCCAGCGGAACGACCATTGTCGTGGTGCCATTGCTGGCATTGCGGAGTGATATAATCCGACAGTGCCAGGTATTAGGTATATTATGCGTGGCGTGGGAGAGCCGTTAACCACCCGACGAAGCCACGATCGTATTGGTGACGCCGGAATCGGCGGTGACAGACGATTTCCACATGTTTATTAACCGATTACAGCAGACCCGGCGGTTAGATCGGATCGTGATTGACAAATGCCATGTCGTATTAAATAACCAGCGGGATTTTCGACCCGAGTTGCAATAGTTAAGACGGTTGAACCATGCACGCACGCAGATAGTATTGCTGACGGCCACGTTGCCCCCCACATTGGAAACAACATTGTTGCAGCGGATAGAGTATCGTCCCGACCAGATCAGCATATTTCGGGCCCGTACCAGCCGTCCGAATGTGGCGTATCGTATATAGTGTCCCCCATCAAAGCTAGTCCCATATAGTTGACCAGCGCACCGGTCGTGGTATTTATCCGGGAGCGAATCCAGCGGGTGTCCACGGGGAAGGTTATTATTTACGCCAACGTGGTCCGCCAGGTTGTGGACATTGCACAGGAATTGCAGTGCGAGGCATATTACAGCCGGCAGATTGATAAACCGTCGATATTACAGCGGTTCACACAGGGCCAGACCCGGGTGATTGCCGCCACCAGTGCATTGGGAATGGGAGTTGATATCCCCAATATCTAGTGTATTATCCACGTTGGCATGCCCCGGTCATTGTTGGATTACACGCAGGAAAGTGGTTGTGCCGGACGGGACGGAGAGGCCAGTGAGGCCATTATTATCCAGCCGGAGGGCTCCCAGCATCCCGGCCTGGATACATCCCCGACGATACCGCATTGGTGGCGGAATATATGGATGTAATACCCGGCGTGGGATGCAGATAGTATGTATTGGATTAATATTTAGACAGCACCGTGGATAGATATCAGCGGCAATATTGCCAGGATCAGAATCCCGAGGAGGTTCCATGTGATGGATGCCATCCTGATTGGCATTCGGTATCCATTGTTAAGGCAGAGGGTTCCATGGTAGATCTAGTAATAATCGAATCACCACCGTTATCGCACCCCAATTATATCCGGTCGAGTCCCGGTGGAGGCAGTGATTCCCCCACCTATTCCCCCCCATCCATAAAGATTGATTATCCGTCTAGTTCTAATGCCAGCCCGGCATCATTCCAATCCCAGCCCCCCTGGATTGACGTGGCGGAACAGCAACGGCAGCGGATCCAGGTTCAACGGCAGGCCGCAGTCGACAGTCAGCAACGCACCCAGGATGCGCAGCAGTGGTTGGATAAGGAGTTTATCAAATCCCAGGCACCACAGTGGCAACGGCAGTGTTATATTTGCACGGTGCAGGGACATGCATGGAACAAGCATGATTTGTACAGTTGCCGTGGTCCCGCCAGTCAGACAGCGAAACAGTGGATGGTGGAGATCCGACAGAAGATTCGGTATGCCCAGTTTAGTGCATGTTTCCGGTGTGGGATGCCCCAGAGTATATGTAATAGATGGCAGGTCGGTAGCCAGGCCACATGTGCATATCATGATGTATTAATCCCTATAACCGCGGCTATGGTGTATGGACCGTGGGCGGAGCAGGTGTAGCCGTTATGGGCACAGTAATTACAGGCATTCGGAGTAGATTGGCAGGATATCGAACAGGTTGGGGCATTTTTAGGACAGGCCACCAGTGGGGGAGTAGGACAGCACAACCAGTTATTTATATTGTTTTGTTGGTTACGGCGGGTATGTATGGAATTGGAGCAGCAGGCTATGTAAAGTTTAGTATATTTGGTTATATATTATAAAATAAGGATATATCCCATTTGCCATGTGTTACGAAGAATATTTCTATGCTATCCAGTCCCCATGTAAGGGGCTAGAGCCCCTCAGCCTACTCGGGCCCTCAGCCCTCGTGTTTCCTTTCTCCTCGCCTGCCACATGATTAGTATATTGATTAGTACACTCTATCATGTGACTTCCCCCCCCTTACTTCGCAATCGTCTCATCGCTGTTTCCTCTTCTCTTTCCTCTTCGACGATTCCTTTTGTATCCACCCTAGTTATTAGGTTATAGAGGTTTAGCCCTTGACATTAGGAATCGTCCTTGTCTGCCTGTCTGCCCGCTCGCCTGCCCGCTTGTCCGCCCGCTCGCCTGCCTGCCTGCTCGCCCGCCCGCTTGCCTGCCTGTCCGCCAGTCTATGGGAATATCTTTACGATGTCCGACCCGAATCCACTCCTCCTGCTTGTGCAGCAGCTCCAGCAAGAGCTCCAAAACCAGCGCCTTGATATTCAAAACCATCGTAATGAGATACAGCAACTACGTGCGGACCTTGATGCTTCCCGAACAGATGTCCACCAGCTTCGTACGCAGCTTCTTTCCGTCCAGACACCCAGATCCCGCCTGCCAGATCCGCCTCGCTTTAACGGTAAACCATACACGCTTCGCACATGGCTCCCGTCAATTAAAGCAAAACTTCGATCAGACCAGCTCGTAGGAGCTGATGCTTTTGACTATGTATGGGATCGACTAGAACAGTCTCAGCAAGCTTCTGTCCTGCACCTCCGCCAATCTGCCGAAGAAAACCAGCTATGGGATCCTGAAGTTATTTTCTCTTTTTTCAGCGTCTATGCCATAACCCACGGGAACAGCAGGAGGCTATTCAGCGCTTTACTTCTATACAACAGAGGGATGACGAATCGCTTATCGCCTACCTTGCTCGTTTTGAACGACTTTCATATGAAGCCAATGTAAACTCATGGCCAGATATATCACGTGTTACCACGCTACACCGGGGGCTACGGCCTAATCTCCGTCGAATACTAGAAGACTCGAATAATTCTCTCTTTGATCTTCCCTATAATGAATATATTGAACTTGTCCAGAGTACCGATCGGCGTACCCGTCCTAGTCCAAAATCAGCCCCGAAACCAGCTTTGACCCCGAATACAGACCCAATGGATACTGATCCGGTCCGAGTCAACTCAGTTAAAATAAACCCCAATCCTGTTCATGTTGGCTCTGTGAGAGTAGCCCGAGCTGCTTCGCCTGTTTTATCTGATTCTTCTCATGAATCCACCACCTCTGACCGCCGCCGTTTCCGACTTGCGAATAATTTATGCCTTTACTGCGGTTCTAATGATCATTGGATCGCAGACTGCGATGCCCGCTCTACTTTGTCTGATACTTCCGAGAAACCTCCGAAAAAGCTTACAGCCCGCGCCAGCAACCCGCCTCGCTATTAGGCCTCCTTCGGAGGCCTTATATAGGAAGGGGGGAGTAGTGTAAGGGGCTAGAGCCCCTCAGCCTACTCGGGCCCTCAGCCCTCGTGTTTCCTTTCTCCTCGCCTGCCACATGATTAGTATATTGATTAGTACACTCTATCATGTGACTTCCCCCTACTTCGCAATCGTCTCATCGCTGTTTCCTCTTCTCTTTCCTCTTCGACGATTCCTTTTGTATCCACCCTAGTTATTAGGTTATAGAGGTTTAGCCCTTGACACCCCATCCCTATTCCACAGGCCTGGGGCGGATGTTGGTAGAGTCTGGTTAGGGTCGGATAACAGTGGGGCGAGGATCGTGCGCTGATTGGCTAGCAGAATTCTCGTTAACATATAGTCGTTCCAAATTATAAACGTAGGGTAGCTCGACAACCCATAATCCACCATAGCTTAAATTTTTATAGTAGATGCAGGACACCTATAAAAGTAACTTGGCAAAATGGGAGCTTGAAATTCCGTTATATAATACTGTGGTGGTGGTCGATGTTTATTATTCGACTTAATTATTTTGTTGGGGTATCACAGCCGACCGAGCCGTTATTACATAACCACCAAACTTGCCAGGTTGCAGGATTATTTAGGAAAGAGGTAAACACACCCAACTGCAGTTATACGATCGCGTTTAAATAAACAATTTAATTTCGGCCATGGAGCACCAGATATTCGAGAAGCTTGATATGTTACCTGTTATTATTTGCAAGCAATGCCAGCATGGTGTGTGGCCCCGAGGTTCTCCGCCATTTAAAAAATCGCGCCCATCAAATCCCACACGCCGATGCTGTCCAGATTAGCGAGAAGGTAATGCAATGGGAGGATATTGCGCATTCCCCGATCAGGTTAATTTTCCCCATCAGTTGGACCAGGCGTTGGTTGGAATACCCGTACAACCTGATGGTTTATTATGTCGGCGGGATTCCCCGGGCTGTCAGTTATTATTATTATTATTATTCTTCCATATTATAGAGCATTTTTCAGTCAGAGACTATGATGCTCTACCTACCACCCCTGGGTGGTAGGATTTAAACTAACAAACAGATACGTACATAGTGGGTAAAATCAAACATAACTAAGCAATATGACATTCTAGGGGTGGGGGACCTTAAATAAGGAGTTGAAACATGCTAATTTCCACTGTTTTTATTTTTTTATTTTTGCTTTTTCTTTTTGTTTTCCCTATGGATCCAAGAGCCACTTTCTAGTGGCGATCCCGCTTTCCTTTAGGAATTTGATCAGTTGTTCTTGCCCTGCTTTCTTCGTGAAAAGATAAGGCAAATTTCGGTCTTTTTTGTCTAGGGTCTCTATAGACCCTTTTCTGATGTCCCTGGTTGCCGGGCACTGGAGGAGTAGGTGGTATGGAGTTTGAGGTTTATTGCTGTGGCATGACGTGCATATATCACTATTATAGTTAGGTGTTCTAACTAAATATGATCTGAAGTAGCCGTGCCCTAGCTTTAATTGGATGATGGTTGACCAGGTCTGCTTGGGAAGCCTTAGGGGTTTGGCTTCCATGAAGCTATGGAATTAAAGCCCCTGTATTGATCACTTTTCTTAGTATTTTCCCATGCTTTATCCCAATCCTCAAGGCATTTCGCTTTAAGCTCTCGTTTAAGATGGCTAACTGAGATAGGGCACTTATGGTATTTACTTGTCCATTCTGCCCCATACTTAGCTGCTTCTGTCAAGGGCTGAACCCATAGAACCTACAAGATAGGTTATGTACAAGAAGGAATCGTTGAAGAAGGGAAGAAAGGAAGAAAGGAAGAAAGGAAGAGGAAACAAGCGGTAAACAAACAAGGTGGGGAGTCACGTGACATCGATCGAGGGCCAATGGGCCAAAAGGGTCAGTAGGGACAGTAGGGACAGTAGGGACAGTAGGGACAGTAGGGACAGTAGGGACAGTAGGGACAATAGGGACAATAGGGACAATAGGGACAACGGGGACAATAGGGACAATAGGGACAACGGGGACAGTAGGGACAATAGGGACAACGGGGACAGTAGGGACATTGGCCCGAGAGGTCAAACGGGCTCTAGCCCTTTACACTACTCCCTCCCTACCGGTTCTTTGGCTTTTGGTGTTGGGCCGCTCATCCAACAATAGTGTTCCCATTGACTGGAGTGCGAAGCGTGGGGAGGAATGGATCCATGGCTCCGCCATGGATCAACTTCTGTGGGGACACCGTCTGCCCATGTGACGCACTTCCGAGCTGGACGTATGTTAGGGCGTAGGGCCCTAATATTTGGCTACCTTTTCGGTTTCTTTTTGGCTTCTTCTTTCTTCGGCTTCTGTGGCGGTTGGGGGTGATCCTTTCGCCAGCGGTCAAGTGCTTCGGTGTCCTCCATTGCATCAGCGTGATTCCATTCAGGTTGCTGGTAACCGGTGTATTTAACTAGGAACTCATGGCGAAAACCTCGTCCTACACGTGCAAACCGTTCGTCTAGGATTTCCTGTACCAGATATTCTTCTTCACCGTCGACTAGCTGGGGAGGGGGCTGGTAGTCGTCATTTTGCTGGCTCGGGAAAGGGTTAGAATTGGCAGGTCGTAGTAACATGACATGGAAAACATTATGAATTCCGGGAGGAGTGTTAAGCCGATAGGCGTGTGAGCCTACTTTCTCAATAATTGTATACTTGGCATTTTCGGATATCTAGTTTCTTGCTTGGTCGTTCCGTGCGTATATTACGTAGGTCAAGCCATACTTTATCACCCACACGGTAAGCCGGTGCGGATGTACGGTGGCGATTAGTATAAGCTTCATATTTTTGCTGCGCAGCGGCGAGCTCGGCCTTAGCAATATCCAGTGCGTGAGCTAATTTAGTCACAATATCATGTCCTTGTTGAGCTTTGGTCCGTTGGGTTTCTGTGGGCACTAGATTTGTATCCTGTGTATTATCCAGCTGAATTGTCTCCATGTCGTACCCATGGTCTAAGAAGAAAGGGCTAATTCCAGTGGCTGTAGCGTTTCTCCCGTTAACTGCGAGTTGAGCTATGGGGGACAGGGAGGCCCAATTAGTTTGTGTACGGTCACAAAAGGACCTGAGATAGGCTTCAATTGTCGCATTCATGCGTTCAGTCTGTCCATCGGTCTCCGGGTGGTAAGCAGTAGATAGACGTCGTCGAATTCCTAGTTGTTTGCAAAAGTTTTCCCACATATCGCTGACAAATTGGGCACCGCGGTCAGACGTAATAGCGCTTGGAATACCATGGTATCCAATAAAGTGTTGGATAAGTTTAGTAGTAACAGTGGGCGTATCTATCTGCTCGCAGGGTATTAATATAACACCTTTCCCTAGGCGATCAACAATAACCATAAGATTCTGGC